CCGTGGCCACCTTGGGCAAGAGGATCATGGTGATCGGAGGGGTTGGGGTGAATCAGCTGCCGGTGAAGATAGTGGAGATGTACAACATCGATGAGGGCAAGTGGAAGAAGAGGAACTCGCTGAGAGAGGCAGCCATGGGGATCTCTGTGACGGGAAAAGGCAAGGGCATTTTTTTTTGTGTCCTTCCTGGGCAGGGAGGGATGTCTGTGGGGTGGTGGGATGGAGAAGGGGTCCCGTTGGTTAGTGCATCAGGCACAAGAGCTTTCTTGCTTGGCCTGGCAGTGGCACAGGGTTATGTTGTTCTTTCCTGTGCTTTCTAGAGGTTGAACCCTGTGTATTTGTCATATCCCACCTCTAAAGACTGTTCTGTAACTGGCCAAGAGCAGGTAAGCCAGAGAGTTGCTCTCTCTTGTCAGCCCTGGAGCCACGAGAGCCGTGGCTGTGCTGGTACCTGGGGTTATCTCAGCCAGGTCCAAGCTCCAGGCTCTCAAATCAAGCTTCTCCAGGTTTTTTTGGCAAGTTCTGGTCCTTGTGTGCTGCAGATGCTGGAAAAACAGGAATGATGCTCTGGCTGAATGTAAGCCACAGAATAGCTCTCAGAAGAGAGACATCTCTGGTCCAAACCCAGAACCAGCCAGAAGAGAGTCAGCTTCACACTTACGGGCTCAAATCACTGTAGTAGGAGAGGAAGTGGCTGGTCTTGAGGCTTAACTCCTGCCTCAGGCAGGGCTGGTTACGTCCCTCCAGACTCTGCCTTACCAGCCCATCCCTTTTATTGCATTGCAAAGCAGAGATGTGGACACGGATTTCCTTTAGCACACTCTGCCATGCTTTGGAGAGCCTGGGGCTGGGAGCTGGGGTCACGCCGCTTCCCACCCTGCCTGGGATTAGGAATCTAATCTCCAGGCAGCATCTTGGAAAGCTGCTTGGCCTCTTTGCTTAAGTGGGTTTAAAAGCTGCCATCAAGGAATGCTTAAAGATAATGTTTACTATCCTGGAGGTGATTTTCTCTCTGGGTATAAGCTTGCCTGACTGATACAGCAGGGTCAATGTGGTGTGAGAGGCTGGGAGCAGAAAGAGCTGCCCTAATCCATGCAGCGTGCAGGCTGGTCTCTGCTTTTAGAACTGCAGGGCAAAGGCTGCTCTCGTTGCTCTCCTGAGTCTTGTTTGTGCCATGAAGTGCTTGTTGGAGGAGATAATGTGGGTGCTGTGCAGGAAGGGATTTCTTTTGGAGGGCCGGGTTTGCCATTAGCCACAGGTGCACGGAGCTGATGGGGACCTGGTGAGGAACGAGGAGTCTCAGTGCCTTGTGTCGGCTCCGAGCCCCTCTCCCAGGTTGCAGAGCTGCCATCCTGTGCCAGACCTTGCCGGGGTGAAGCAGGAGATGAGCATGGGAGCAGCAGCCCTGAATGAGGGAGTGGGGTCAGGGAGAGCATCCACGTTGCTGCAGGGACCAGCAGCATCCCCCTGTGCCCCAGGAGCTCGGGACATGCCCAGGGACTGGTCGTGTCTGCCCCATCCCTGGCAGTGTTCAAGGCCAGGTTGGGTATTTCTGATGCTTCCCTAGAATAACTCTGTGGGATTCTCTTTCTGCTTCCTGGCCCTGTCCAGACTATAGAGTCTACGCAGCCGGTGGGATGGGATCCGACCTGCGGCCACACAACTACCTGCAGCACTACGACATGCTGAAGGACATCTGGGTGTCGCTGGCGGCCATGCCCACACCCAGGTACGCTGCCACGTCCTTCCTGCGAGGCACCAAGATCTACGTGCTGGGTAAGAGCAGTCCTGCCTCCCCTCCTCCTCCTCAGCAGCAGCTCCTTTGATCCGAGCACCGGGAAGAGGCTTTGGGGAGTGTTCTCCTCCACCAAAAGCCCTTGGACTCAACTAAGGAGTTCAAATACTTCTATGCATTATGTACCAGCAAAGCACCACTCAGCTTCACAGAGGCTCTGCCTTTGGGGCTGCTTTGGAGACTGGGAGGTGGGAAATGTCAGACCAAGCCTTTTGCAGGGGACAGTCACAGGGTGGGTTGGGTTGGAAAGGACCTTAAGATCATCCACTTCCAATCCCTGCCATGGGCAGGGATGCTTCACCCTAGACCATGTCACCCAAGGCTCTGTCCAACCTGGCCTTGAACAGTGCCAGGGACGGGGCATTTACCACTTCTTTGGGCAGCCTGTGCCAGTGATGTTCATTAGGAAGGGAAGCCAAGGCAGAGGAACGCTGCTGTTTGCTCACAGCTCAGGACCAACATGCACAATCCCTGGTTGCTCCAAGCCCTCCAGAGCCCTGCCTTTCTTTAGGGGTTACCAGGAAGGACTCTTTGATGTATTTTGCACTTTGCTTGCTGAGAGTAGCTGGATTCATCTGCCTGTGATGGAGCGAAGAAGAAGACCCGTCTCTGGCGGGGGTGACAGCCGCTGCTGGGGCCCTGCTGCCCCACTGGGAGCTCGGCAGCAGGGCTGGATTGTACTGGTGCTGGATGCATGTGCATTGCAAAGGCTCCTCCAGTGCCGAGCCCCGTGGATGTGTCTTGGTTAAACCTGTGCACATCGAACACCTTCCCCTGCCAGAGGGGGGTTCATGCGCTGAGAAATGAAGTGTTTCTGTGGCATGAACCTGCAGCTAAAGGAGCCCCCCCCCGCCCCAGGTCTGTGTTAGCTCTGGGGCAATAACACAAGAGGATGTGAAGCTGCTGGAGCAAATCAAGAGATGAGCTCTTGGGCAGAAGCTCTTCCCTGTGAGGGGGCAGAGGCGCTGGCACAGGGGGCACAGAGGA